CCACCCTGGTCTTCCCCCTCCTCCTGTCCTCTTTGTTCTCCTGTTTCACCTCTATTCTGGTTCATGTATACACATGATTTTATATGTTGTATAAAATCTTGGAAACACAATTGATAGAAAACATATCATACATACATGATTTTATATATTTATATAAACTCTAGGAACCACAAATGAGAGAAAACATGCCATCTTTGTCTTTCTGACTTAATTCACTTATGTCAAGTTGCATCCATTTTCCTGCAGTCAACATAGCTTTGTTCTTGTGCATAGTGATTTTTGACTTACTTGCCTTGTCATTTTGAAATTTTATTACATTTTATCTATATTTATATTTATCTGTTAATTACTTAATTTGTTGTATGTGTTGTATTTGTGGGTCCACAGGTACCATGTTAAGAGAGTGAAGTTGGGAGGGAGGACAGCTTTCAGGAGTTGATTATCTCCTTCTACCATGTGGGTCATACAGATTGATCTGAGGTCATCCAGCTTGGTGGGAAGTGCCTTTACTTGTGAGTGTATACCAGGCGTGTCCTGGTATCTGAGGAAGCCAGAAGGGGCTGTTGGATCCCATAGGAGTTAAAGGTAGTTGTGAACTGCCTTGCATGGACTAATGGTCCTCTGGAAGAATAGGAAATACTCTTAACCACTGAGGCATCCCTTTAGCCCCCCCCCCAAAAAAAATAAATCTGTTACTGATTATTTTTGCCTTATCTTTTTTCTCTATTATTTTATTATGAAACAATTTAATAATTATTTTAAATGTTTAATAAATTATTTTTAATGTTTAGATCCATTATGATATATGTTTCTGTTAAATAAATTTCAGCCTACCTTTGTGACTAAGAAGTTGGCAGGGGAGATTGTAAGTAATATTCAAGATACTGGGGTTAGAGAGATGGCTCCGTGGTTCAGAGCACTTGATGCTCTTGCAGAGGACCCGGGTTAGGTTCCCAGCACCTACCTGATGACTCACAAATGTCTATAACTCCAGTTCAGGGGATCCAATGCCTTCTTTTGGCCTCTGCACGCACCAGGAATGTACGTGGTACATATACATACATGTAGGCAAAACATAGGTATACATAAAATAAAAATAAATAAATCTTTAAAAAAGATATATCCCAGGTACTGTGTTTTGACTGGGGAGATGGCTCAGTGAGTAAAGCACTTGCTTTAAAGTGTGAGGACCTGCATTTGAATCCTCAGAACCCAACTTAAGCTGAGTGTGGTAGTGTACACATCTGTAATCCTGTGGGGCTCCTATGACAAGGTGGAAGGAGACAGGAGATTCCCTAAAAGCTCATGGGCCAGCTAAATTGATATACACAGTGGTGAACAACTGGAGACCCTATCTCAAACAAGGTGAAAGGCAAAGACTGACATCCAAAGTTGTCCTCTACACACATGCCTTTACACAAATGTGTCTGCATTCATATAAATGAACACACACATCATACACGCCCATGCAAATACACAAAGGTGAAGAGATACTGTATGCTATTTCAAAGGTTATTTTTTTGGTCTTTTTGAAACAGGGTCTCCCTGTAGCCCCAGATGGCCTGGAACTCACTATGTAGACCAGGCTGGCCTTGAGCTCACAGAGATCCTCCTGCCTCTGCCTTCCAAGTTCTGGGACTAAAATCATGTGCCACCACACCCAGCCCAAAGTATTTTACTGTAATTTGAAAACATATCTGATTATAAATACTATAGGTATGACTTGTAGATAGTTAATTTTTGAATTATTAATTTCTTGTTTTTGTTTCTTGAGACAAGAGCTCACCCCCCCCCACACACACACCATCTTCCTGCCTCAGCCTCCAAAGCGCCGGGATTACAGATGGGTGCTGCCACACCCAGCTTGCTTTTACACTTTTAATTTGGGATTAGTGTAGACTTAATATCCTTTTGAAGTGACACTTATGCGTCTCTTGGTACATGGTCTGTGTATATGTATCAGTGTATGTTTAATGTCAGTGTATAGTGAATGAAGTTTGTTCAAGTAGTGTTCATTCTGTTGCCTAACAGGGTTTGCTTTTCTTTTATGTGAGAAGCATTTCTGGGAACAATGTTGGGAATATTTCCACTGTAGGTATTTAATAATATCTGTGCTTGGGAAATCAGAAACAAAAGAAACAATGGTTTTTCCCATTTTCATTTTTCAAAAACTGTAATGGGAGCCTCTCCTCCAAGAGTACCTCCTTGTCACTGCTTTCCAAAGACATCCGTAGTGAAGCATTATGTTATGACCTAGTATTTTAGAGTTTATTAGTGTTCTTATAAAGATTGCAGTAACATTCACCTACCTTAAGGGCCAAGCAGTTAACCTGGTTTTGAATGAGTCAGGCTTCTATTTTGAAATATACATATTAATACATCTATCAGTGTTGAGATTGGTGCCTAACTTTGGAGATTTAAAATGTGTGATTGCTGTATTGTATACAGGCACCCTGTCATGATAAAGTGTTGCTTATTACTTGGCAATATTTATGTATACAATTTGGCAAAATAACTTTTTGAAAGAGAAAAATGTTTTTTAAAATGCTTCACTTTAAAAATGGAAATTTATGTTCTCAAAGTATTATTTTACTCTTATAAAACCTTTAAATTATGATACATATTAAAAACTACTCAAGTGAAGGTAATAAGGAATAATAGATGCATTTGAGAAATGTATGCTGTATAACTGGTAAATTTAAGAAAATGTTCGTAAAATGCAGTTTTAGATAGGAAGATTGGGGCTGGGGGCATGCCTAAATAGTATGCTGGCAAACTTCCTGAAATGTATGCTGTATAACTGGTACATTTAAGAAAATGTTCGTAAAATGCAGTTTTAGATAGGAAGATTGGGGCTGGGGGCATGCCTAAATAGTATGCTGGCAAACTTCCTGAAATGTATGCTGTATAACTGGTACATTTAAGAAAATGTTCGTAAAATGCAGTTTTAGATAGGAAGATTGGGGCTGGGGGCATGCCTAAATAGTATGCTGGCAAACTTCCTGAAATGCGTGTGCACAGTAATTAGAGGCACATTGATTTTTAAATGTCAGCCAGATTTTATTCTCTTCCTTTCTAGTGTCTATTTGTATGAATAGTGATTATTTTTACTTCTAAAGGGAGTTTATCAAGCTTTCTGTGAACATTTGTTAATTACCAGTGCTATTTATAGCTGATACTAGCAGTGGTTTAAGGTTTTCTTGGTTTGATTAATTTCTTGGTTGTCAAACTTGGCTAAGAATCATATATTCTATGATTTTTGCTTGAACCCAGTAAACAAATGTCCTTAGTCATATTCCCAGCAATATGTTATTGATACATCCCTTACATTTTAAATGTAAAAAGGAGTTTTCATGGCCTTTAGTGCTTTATTAGCCCTACACTCTGTAAGGAACAGTGGTGTGAGGAGGCTGAAAATCTGTCCTCTTTCATAGACAAAGTATGATTTCTTGGGGCTGGAAAGATGGCTTAGAGGTTAAGAAGGCTTGCTCTTTTTGCAATGGACCGGAATTTAGTTCCCAGCATCCACATGGCAGCTAACAACTATCTATAACTCCACTTCTAGGGGATCCAATGCCCTCTTCTGCCCTTTGTGACACTGCACACCTGTGGCATACATACATACATACATACATGCATGCAGGCAAGCAAAACACTCATGCATACAAATAAATAAATCTTTTAAAAAAGTTTGCTTTCTTAATTTCAGTAAGTCCATGCCAGTAGAAGACAATTGCACAAATATCTCACATCTGTCACCTGGTGACAATAGCTGTAAAATACCATGGAGGCATCCAGTTTTAGAAAAGTTATAAATAAAAGTAGATTCTAAAATTCTTAGAGTTACTAATTGAATTTTAAAGAGATGGTTATGCTGGGTGCTGTGATATGCACCTATGATCCTAGCACTTGGCAGGTAAAGGCAGGAGTATCATAGAAAGTTTGAGGCTAACCTGGTAGTATAGCAAGTTCCAGGCTATCTTTATCTTGGGCTATGAAGGGAGACCCTGTAGCTCTGTCTCAAAAGAAACAAAAACAAACAAACAAAAGAGATTGTTATAATATTCTTAAGTGTTCTGGTTTTCTGTGATTAGATTAGTATGGCACATTGGCTTGCTTTGACTCTGCAGTTGTTTATTTTAAATATCCTTCAGTGTTCTAGTCTCAGATTCATGCAATAGGAATAGGTTATCCTACAGCTCATTTGAATTTTGTTACCTGCTGTAGAAACCCATTAACTTAATGTAAACTCTTAGAAATGCCTTGGCAGAAATATTTGGGGCATGGAACGCAGAGCTTTTTTTTCCCCACATAGTAATGCTAAGATTGAAGGTATGTCCATTTATTCAAAATGCCTCTTAGGAGTAGATTTATGAAAAAAGGATGAAGTATATCCACATTTAGTCTAAGGAAGAATATTTATGTCCTTCCCATAGTCTACACACTTACTAATTCTTCTCTGGTACATTCTACTATTCGAACAGCAGTATTTCTTCATTCTTGGTGTTTCAGTGAAGGCTTGCCTATGTGCGAAGCTCTAAGTTCAATTCTCAGCACCACAAACAATTGAAATCCCACATAGAGTTTCAGTGCAGTTAAGAACAATGGCTCTTTTATTGGTTCATTGCACTTAGGAGACTGAGATAGAAGGGTTGTCAATTAGAAGCCAGCTTGGGCTACATAGTTAAGACCCAGCGTTCAAAAGGGAAACAAAACCAAAACCCAAACAGCATAACGAACCTTCTAGAGATGTGAGTAGGAAGACAAGAAAGAATGATGCAAGGAGTGTAACCATGAAACCTTGAACTCTTGTATATCCTGTCTTCACCTCCTGAGTGCTGGGGTTACAGGGGATCAAACTTGGGCCCAATGCTTAAATAGCAAGCACTTTAGAGATGGAGTTATCTTCCCAACCCACAAATTTTGGTTATTTTATAACCATATATTAAAGGTAGACTACTTTATAAATAAGGTGTTTTGTTTCATTTTCTACCTTGTAGGTTGCTTCCTCAGAATGTTGGCCTTCTCTATGTTGGAGGTTATGAAAGACCCTTTGCACAAATCAAGGTATGATTGTTCATGCTTAGTTTACTATTCTTTGGCGTTTACTTACTTGGAACCCACCTAAAACTTAGTAATTACCACTAGCCTTGTCAAAAATGTTGTCTCTGTGAAGGAATAATTTCTTTGATGTTTGCTTGTGTCTGCTCACACTAAAGTTGACTTTGACCAAAAAAGTTATTGCCTAATTTCTGAAGAGTACATTTAGGCTTAATTTTCAGATCATGCATTTTACTCTGTAAATTTTAGCTACTTTATTGGGGTATGACTTACAGCCAGTAAACTATATAAAGCATCTAGCTTGATAAATTTATATATACATACACTCATGTCAAAACCATTACTATATCAAGATAATAACATATCCATCACTTCAATAAAAATGTACTCAGGCCCCTTGAAATTTCTTTCTCCTGTCTCTTTGTTTATCCTTTTAAAAAATATTTTATTTATTCTTTTTATGTGTATGCATGTATTGCCTGCATATTGCCTGAATGTAGGTAAGTCCACCTGTGTATCGTGCAATGCCCGTGGAGGACAGAAGAGGCCATTGGATCCCCTGGAACTGGAGTTACGGACAGTTGTTAACTGTCATGTGGGTGCTGGGATTCGAACTCAGGTCTTCTGCAAGAACAGTCAGTGTTCTTAACCTCTGAATGATCTCTCCAGGCCCTGTTTATCCTTCTTACCCCTGTGTTCTAGTTTGTTTCTCCATTGCTGTGCCGAAACACTCCAACCAGTACCAACTTGGGGAGGAAAGGGTTTATTCAGCTTACATCTCCCAGGTCACAGTTCATCAGGGAGCCCAAGGTAGGAACTCAGGGCAGGAACCTGGAGGCAGGAGCTGGAGCACAGGCCATGGAGGCTCGCTGCCCCTGCTCAGCCTGCTTTCTTTTTTTTTCTTTTCTTTCTTTCTTTCTTTTTTTAAAAATATTTATTATTTTTATTTTATGTATATGAGTGTATTGCCTGCACGTATGTGAGTGCACCCGTGTTGTGAAATGCCGCGGAGGTCAGAAGAGGGCTTCAGATTCCCCTGGAACTGGAGTTAAGGGCGGTTTGTAGCTACTATGTGGGTGCTGGGAATCAAGCCTGGGTCCTCTGCAAGAGCAGTCAGTGCTCTTAACTGCTGAACCATATCTCCAGCCTCTAGGCTGCCTTCTTATGCAACACAAGCCCACCTGCCCAGGGGTGGCACCACCCACGGTGGGCTGGGCTCTCCTATATCACTCAACAATCAAGAATATGCCCCACAAACATGGCCACAGGCCAGTCCTGTGGAGGAAATTCCCCAATTGAGGCTCCTTTAATCCAGGTGTGTCAAGTTGACACTAAAGCTATCCAGCACAATTGACCCCTTGTCAACTTGACACGCAAATCATCATTATTAAACTATAACCTTTCCAATTCTTACCCCAAGATATGATGTTAACATTAATATTACAACCTTAGAAGCCCCACAGTCCTTAGAAAATCCAAACACCTAAAAGCCCATAAAGTCTCAGCCAGGCGTGGTGGTGCACACCTTTGATCCCAGCACTCAGGAGGCAGAGACAAGTGGAGCTCTGTGAGTTCAAAGCCAGCCTGGTCTACATAGTAGCTCAAGGCTGGACATCTGGGATTCACTCACCATCTTCTGGGCTCCAGAGGATTCTGGTAGCTCCACCTCTCTGACTCTGCTCTCCACAGCACACACAGCTTGTCTCTAAGACCCAGGCTGGCTCCATTCCACACCTGCCGCTGCCCTTGGTGGTCGTCCCATGGTCCTGGCATCTCCAAAAAGTTGGGGTTTCCACTGAAACTGGGTGCTGCACCCTCACCAATGGTCTATTCTGGCCTCTTGCAGTGCAATGCCTCGGATTCTCTCCATGGCCACTTCAGTCCTGGGGTTTTCACTGCAACTGAGGGTGCACTTTCACCAATGGCTTTTTACTGGCCAACTGTCATCTGCTTTCTATGACCTCTTCACGCTTTTAACACCGGAACCTTGCAGGAGACTCTTACACATTACCAAGTCCTGCTTCTAGCTTGAGATAGAGGCTCGGGTCCCCTCTGTGTGCTGACCCTGAGGAAATACCTCCCAGAAGACTTCACCACAATGATGCTGGTCTCTTGTTACTTACAGCAGATCTTTCAGCCCCAGCTAGCTAGCATCAATTGTCCCAGTAAAGCAAAGGTTTTACTTCAGGTTCTGGTCTCTTCTTACTCACAGCTGATTCTTCAGCCCTGGCTGACCACAACCCACAGATTCTCAATTCAGAATATCATACAAACAGCCCTGATAGTCTCCACTTCCTTTGAAGTTTCACAAGCCAGACCTCCATCATCCACAACTCTTTCAACATAACTGTTCCAAGCTCTACAGCAACACACTTTAAGCATGCAATGGCTTTTCCAGCCCAGATTTCCAAACACTTCCACAATCCTCCAACGACAGCAGTAGGGGCTCTGGTACCAATTTATGTTCTGGTTTGTTTCGGCTTACATCTCCCAGTTCACAGTTCATCAGGGAGCCCAAGGTAGGAACTCAGGGCAGGAACCTGGAGGCGGGAGCTGGAGCACAGGCCATGGAGGAGTGCTGCTTCCTGGGTTGCTCCCTGGCCCCTGCTCAGCCTGCTTTCTTATGCAGCACAGGCCCACCAGCACACCCTGGAAAACACGAAACTGAGTTGTTATAATAGAGGAATTCGCATTTTTTGTTTTGTATGAATGAACTCATATAGTTCATTTCTCTTGTTTTTCCATCTTTCACTCAACAATTGGACACTCATCCATTTCCTGGTTCTTACTGTTATTACATTATCTCCTGTTTGTTTGTTTGTTTGAACTCAGGCAAGCACACTGCTGCTGAGCTAATTCCCATACCACTGCATTATTTTTTATTGCTGAGTAGTATACCATTATATGTCTGTAACATGATTTGATTAGCCTTTCAACTATTGGTGGAGATTGGGGCTGTTTCTAATTTGGGGCTATCACAAATGCAACTGATGTTAACATTTGCAGTTTTTTCATAGGAATGTATGCTTTCTTGTCTGTTGGATTGTGGAGCATCCTGTGTTTCTCTTGGGTAGATGCACAGGTCTGTTCCATTACCACCAATACCACACTGTATTGACTATTGTAACTTTATAATAAATCATGGAATCAAGTAATATAACTCCTCTTTTTTGTACTTTTTTTCCAAGCAGTTTTTGTTAATCTAGTTTCCTTTTAATTTTCATATTAATTTTTAGACTATCGTATCAATTTCATAAAAATATCTATTTGAAGTTTGGTTGTGATTATGCTGAATCTATAAATTTGAGTATAATTGAAGTTTTAATAGTGTTAGGCTGGAGATATGGCTCTGTGGTAGAGTACTTACCTCTGTCCCCCAGAAGTGAGACGGGGAGAGGGAAAGAGGAAAGGAGAGGGATGGAGGGAAGGAGGGGGAGAGAGATTTTAAAAATAGTGAACCATCCAGTTCACCAAGATTGTATCTCTCTTAATTTATTCAGCCCTTTAATGTCTCTTACCAGTCTTTATTTGTTTTGCTGACCTTGCATAATTTTAAATACATATCTATGTTTCTTATTTTGATGCTATTATAAAAATATGCTTATTTCAGTTTTATTATTTGTTGCTAATATGTCAAGAGGTGATTTTAAATATGCTGACTTGAGATTTTGCAGTAACACTCAATTATTATTATTTCTAGTACTTAGTTTTTAGAGATTTTATAGGATTTTTTAATGTACTTATATGATCTACTGAAAAAGATTGTTCTCCTTGGTGTCTGATCTGGATGCCTTTCATTGCAGTTTCTTTATTGCCCTGGCTACAGCCTGTAATACAGAGTTGGATACTAATAATAGATATCCTTGCCTCATTCCTAATCCTGGAAGAAAACATTCAGTCTTTTATCAGAATTTTTTCAATAGTAATATTAGTTAAGAGTTAATCAATTGGGACTAGAGAGGTGGTTCAGCAGTTAAGAGCACCTGGCTGCTCTTGCAGAGACCAGAATTTGATTCCTGGCACCCATGTCGGGGGGCTCACCACTGCCTGTAACTCCAGCCTCAGGGAATCTGACTTCCTCTTCTGGCTTCTGCAGATACCCTGCTCACATGCGTGTGTACACATGGGGGCAGGGGGAGGTGGTGAAAATAAAATAAATTATTTAAAAAGAGAGTTGATGAATTGTTTTCAACTAGGCTTTGTTGTAAGAAATGAAAAATTAGGCTGGGCATGGTGGCACATGCCCTTGATCCTAGCACTCAGGAGGCAGAGGCAGGCAGATCTCTGTGAGTTCAAGGCCAGCGTGGTCTACATAGTAAGTTCCAGGACAGCTGGGGCTGTAGGGAGACCCTGTCTCAAAAAGACAAACCCCCCCAAAAAAATCTAGTGAAGCAGAGGTTGTTGAACTAGCATCACAAGAGTGTATATTGTCACATGCAGTTTCGTATTCATGAGATTGGCAAAAGAAATCTAACAGCTAAAATGAAAAAATAGAACTGGGGAGATGTTTCAGTGAGTAAATTGCTTGCTGTGCAAGTGTGTAGACCTGAGTTCTGATCCCCAGAACCCACATAAAACTGAATATGGTAGCATGACTTTAATCCCAGTGCTTCTATGGCAAGATGAGAGATGGAGAGAGGAGAAGGGCAGCTAGCCTGGACTACAGCTATAAACTACAGAGACCCTGTTTCGAACTAGGTGGAAGGTGAGGAGCAACAGATGAGGTCGTTCTCTGCCCCGTACATGTGTGCCATGGCACTTGAATGACCACACTTATACACATGAATGCATACATACATGAATACATATCTATACACAGAAGTGAAAAAATACTAGCAAGGCAATAAATAGAAAAAAAGTTTTGAATTTTTTGTTAAAATTTTCCGTTGTTTTTAAGAGCTATGTAAAATTTGGTGGTGTTAGGGTTTTTGTGGTTCTTTAGTTTTCTGATTTTTTTTTTTTTTAATGTTCGTTTCTTGGCTACAGGAGTTATTTTTCTCCTGCTT